TGTGAAAACTCTGGAGAAGAAGAAGAGCAGGAGATTAATACTCAAAAATGTGAAAACTCTGGAGACAACGAAGAGCAGGAGATCAATAGTCAAGAAAGCTCACACGTCGACTATCAACAAAAGCGCTCAATTCAAGATATCTGTAAAGACCTCGACGATTTGGAGCGTGGTCTACGTCTACTCCCCACACGACGAATCACAAAAAGTTCACCAGGTATCAAGCCTTGGGTCAGATGCGCCTTCTGCGGAAGACGAGGTATACATTACTCTGATTCATGCCCTGACTTTCCCGATGGCGACCAGCGATACCGCCTCATCCTACAAGACGACAGGTGTGTCTACTGTCTAGAAAGGTGCAATCCATACGTGGAATGCCGTGAACAAGAAAAGGCGTGTTGGTATTGTGGGATAGTAAAAAACACAATACTGAAGTTCCTCATCCCAAGAGACAATGGCCACCACCGTTCGTTATGCACTATACCAAATTCGAAGGGATGGATAAGAAACGTCATCGACGACGTCAGACAAGAGCTGCATGAAGCGTCAAATATGGGCACTACCATCTCTTCCGCCCCGGGAGTGTAGCAAAAGCTACAGTTAATCAATTACGAAGTCTTCGATTTCTGTGAGTCACCGATCGGCTTATCACCGTTCGTATCTAAACGCACGTTTCCCATAAGCTTTGCTTGAAAACACAATTTCTCAAAATATAAGGTGACTATTTCTGTGACAATCATATTTTCCTCTAAAACATTGGGTTTGTTTCTCTTGTGAACATTTAGCTTTAGCTTGAAGAGACACAATTTCTCAAAATATAAGGTGACTATTTCTGTGACAATCATATTTTTTAGATTATGTTGTCCTGCTCGATAGCCGCATAAAAGGAGGTGATTCCAACGTCCGCCAGCTTTCTGCTACAACACCAAGTCGCGTCCGTCCAGCTCAACGGCCACAATTGGACCCGCTCAATCTGGGACAATATTCTTCAATATCGCGTAGGACAACGGTTCGGCTGATCAATATTAGTGGGACTATTTAGATTCAAATAAATAGTTAATAAGTTGCCTTTGCTCAACTTTAAAGGTAACACCGCGTGGCGACTCGAAGAGTATCTTGGCGAGCAACCTTTATACAACCGCTACACTGGCACCGTTACTGCTTTTCACGCTCTTCACCACCCTAATGTCTTGGGTAGCCCGATGCCGGGCTTTGGCCAGTCTGAAGACGAACTTTTCTGCGTTTCTGCTTTCAACTTCTCGTACAAGGCGTCCATTTCCGTGTTCTTCGCCTTGGCGACGGCAGCCTTAGCGAGCCTCTTGCAACTCTTGTAGGCAGCGAGGTCCTCGGGGCTCCGGGTCTTCTGCCAGCGCTTGTATGCTTCCTTCTTCTGCTTCACGACTCGCTGGACCTCCTCGTTCCAGAACCACGCTGCCTTGTCTCCTCTGAATCCACCTCGCGTCTCGCCTAAGAGCCTCATGAAAGGACCACTAAAGACCATCCTCTACGCTGACGACATCGCCCTGATAGCGGATAGCAGAGAAGAACTACAGGCCAAGGTGCAGAAGTGGCAGAAGGTCCTGGCAGAAGGGGCTCCGGCTAAATGTCAAGAAGACCAAGTTCCTGAGCTCCTGAAGAGAGTGCAGAGCCTGATCGTGGATGGCCATGGAGAAAGCATCGAAAGAAGGGGGGACTTCCGACACGCAGAGAAATCAGCTGCTCCACCACAATCGTCCAATAAAGGAATCTTCTAAGGGAAAAGATCGCCTTCATTATTACAAAAAAGGAGACCTCAGTCTTCTTGGGTTTTGATAATAATTATGATAACCAGTTCGACTATGAAAATTTTGAATTCCCGCTGTAAAACTTCCACAACTGTTAGCGGCGTGGAGTCAACACGTGCAAACGTGTCAAAAGCGTGAACGTGAACAGGATTCATGTTGGGCCCTTCCCATAAACTGACACGTGGATCCGCACCTGCCACGCACTTCGTCACAGAAGCACTTCCGGTCCCGCCTACTGGTCCAATCCGGTCCCACAGATGGGTCTTTCCAGGGCTGTTTCTCTTGGGGTTTCATCATTTTCGCTCTGAACTTTGCATATGGTCTTCAATGACCATGCCCAACACCTGTACACAAGGAAAGGATGAGCAGTCTTTCCAAGGAAGATTCCTTTAACTTCGCTTCACCACAACTCAGCTGAGTAAGAATACTTGCTAGAAAATGTGAACTCATAGGAGGATATATGAGGGTACTTTCTGAGTGTTTTTGATGGAACCGAAAGAGTAAACTAGCAAGAAAGTGATCCCACGACCTTTTGCCTGCGTGTCCGTAGTACTACCGTTGCACTCTTTGCTGCCTCATAGCTCCGTTCGAAAGTGTTTAGAAATTGGGAAAGCAAATTTATGGTCGGCTTTCGAGGAACATATGGACGAGTGCATTCCACCTCGAATGACCTCGGCAACCTGACGACATTTCTTTGCGAGTGCAATCTTGGCAAGCTCTTCCGACGTTCCTGCCTGCACCCTCGAAGACAAACGACGTCGAGACGATCTTTAAACAGTCACTGACGTTCTGAATAAGCCACAGACTCGAATCTCTTCCGAAAGCGAGTGTGCACGTTTATGAGAGCTGAGTCAATCAGGATTGGTTACGGCACAACCCCGCAAACAAGAAATGGATCACAGTGAACCAAGCGTTGTCAAGGGTCGGCTCAAGGTCAACCAACGCGTGCCACATACCTTGTTCTTTTTGAACTAACCTAAGTCTTCTGAAATAAGGAAAGAAAGCGCAGGAGCTGTAATAGTATGTAAATGAGAGAGTGCCTAGAGAACACTATAAAATTTGAATCAGACGTCAAGAATTATGCGAAGCGATTGCGGAATTTCTTCAAACTATAGTACATACGATCAGACAGGATGATATGAAAGCCATCCATTAAAGAATTGGGGTATTTTGGTCTGGAATATTTTGCTTTCTACGCTATCAAGTATTCACTACTAATTCATGAACGGATTTCTTGAAATTTCTCAATTTGCCCTGATTGGGAGAAGGTCCCACCGGTGCGACGTCATCCACTGAACGCTCTGCTCTGCGTCCTTGCCAAACTGCTAGTATTCTCGGTTAGAGCCTGACGAAAAGAAAGTGGCCGGCTGTAAAAGGTTTAGCGTCGCGAGTGTCGCCGGTACGGCCCTACTAATGTAAGCCGCAAGGGGCATACCTCTGCAAAGTGTGCATCCTCCAGTACCCTGAGAGGGATGGGGAGGGGGGAAGAGCTATTTTCCCACTAGGTATATTTGTTTTATCTATCCGACCTAAGACCAAAGCAATATGCTACAACGAGAGAATTAACATCTTTTGATAACTACTGAATCTTTGGCGTTCCAACAGTTTATATACATCCCAAAAAGACCTTCTCAATGCAATACTCCAACACAATAGTTGAATGTTTTAGGTGCAATAGTTCCTGTTTATTACAGGGACGGTGAGGCTTTCCAAAGGTTCATCATATAGAAAATTTATGTCACTGTACTTGGATTCTACACCAAAACGTTTCCAATCCTCCTCCTTTACCTTCCCGCCCCCGCCGCCTCCCTCCACCACATTCCTCGCACCCCACTCAAACTGTGCTTGAGTCGTGGCTCCTCGGAAACTTTGCGAAAGAAAGAAAATACTTGTCTACCAACTAATTGTACGAGTGTTAACTAATCGATTGGAATCAAACAATTGACCGTTCGAGGGTAGAAAGCATTAACAAGCAGCACTATGCAACTGTATAGTGCAACGGGAACAAACATGTTTGTCAAACAAAATAAGTCATTAGGCGAATTATATTTCCTTAACAAAAACAACAGAGTATCTGGCAGGCCAATCAGAATTTTCACTTTCCCAAAATATTGCAAATATTCTGTGACTGCACATTTCTAGATATACCTCTAGAAAGAGATTGAAGTAAGATATGGCTCGAGGTAGAGCGCAACCACTTGCGGAGATGACGACTGGCTAAAGAAAACCGATAAAGCGTCAACTAAATATGGGAATAGGACGACTATCGCCTCGTCAGTGCTTTCATCAGCTAAAGCGGTGTATAGTAACGGCCAAAGAAGCAGAACACCGTTCGTGCACAGCTGTGCGAAACGGGGAACCGTTCCTGCTTCTGCCAGCTGTTTCTATAATAACAATGTTGCGTAACTGCGGAATATTACGATAGAAGAAGACATCTCTGAAGCTCACATGACCGCCGTTTCGTAAGCTTCATTCGGCATTATTTACCCTTTACTGCCCCACTCCTCAAGAACTGAGACCGGATTTTTATCGAAATTTGTCATGACTGTGGATTTGGCTAGAAACTTGCCTTCAGAGTAGTTTGACCCTTGGAACACGGTGTCCCCCAAGAGGCCCGTCGCGCGGCGAAGGAAGAGACGCAGACGCGGCAAAGGACGAGTCGCAGCGCATACTGTAGCGGTTAGGCGTCAGGTTAAATAGAGTGTACCATACTACGTCTCATATCGCACAGCACGCGCTGCGACTCGTCCTTTGCCGCATCTGCGTCTCTTCCTTCGCCGCGCGACGGGCCTCTTGGGGGACACCCTTAGAACACGAATATCACATTTGTGTACCGCGAGAAAATATGGCGCCTGCGCCACAACATCTTGAATCACTACATTTGCTGGAAACTTGTCTTCAAGGTTGCTCGATTCGTAGAACATGAATATCACATTAGTTTGTTGCGAGTGAGCCTGTAGCCTGCGCTACGGGCGCCCGGTGCAAAAGTAATGTGATAGCGACGGCGCCTGTGACGCAAGTGCCCAGCGTTTTCCCGCCAAACTATGGTGTTTTCCGTGTTCTACGGATCAAACATACCAAAATATTTTCACGCCAGTCATAAATAATAGGCTGACAGAGCACTTCATGGGGGGAGGTAAGAATCCGGCACATACGGCGCCATACTTGCAAACATATTGATGACCCTCGGATGCAATCTCGACAGCAGCAAGTGGGTTTACGAGCTTTTCCAGGAATTCTTAGTTGGTTTACCGTGTAGTTGGATAAAGATGCTCCAATGCTAAAAATGCTCTGCATCGTCTGTCTCCGTGCTTGGGTCTTTACGCAAATGTGCTCATTTCTCAGTGACGCTAGAAGGGCTTGAAATACGTGGTAAACCTCAAAAACGTGGATGTACTCTGATCTCTTTGCCCTCAATCGTGTTATCATAGCCGGCGTTATTTGAAACCTGGAAAAGCCATAAAGTGTTCGTAAGGGCCGTGGATCGGTACAGCGCGTAGAAAATAAAGGTGCGAGTTGAAACCTGTCTCATTTGAAACTTTTACTGAAAAAAAATGGAGAAGGGAGGGGCAATGATTTGAACAGATGTAGCCATCACTACATTGATGGAAGAGCATAGCAAAGGTTTAATTATGTAGGGCTCGGGAAATATAATTTTATGATAACAATAAAATAACCATTTCCAGCCTAATAAGAACATTACAGGAGTCTTACGAGCTCACGTCGCACTGATGGAATGGCTCCCTCTACTCGTCTTCGCGAATTTTGATGTCGAGCTTTGGGAAATACTGTCGAATGGAAGAGTTCCATGGTAAATACAAAATAAATTATTTAAGAACAGCTGGTGGACCGACCGAGAGAAATCGGCTGCGAATCGGCGGATTGGGACCTTGCTGTTTAATGACATCAAAGTCCAGATGTTACAAAGCAATCAATCAAGGCAACGTGAAACAGATTCCGCTACCATATCTTTATATAAGCTGTGAGCGCTCATGGCCCTCGAGCAGGGTCAACCGTCACGTTCGAACATTTTCGGGATTTTTGCGACCCCCCCTCTCGAGAGGGTCCAGTTGCGACCCCCCCAACACACAGTTGCGACCCCCCAATACAACCAGCCTTCCCTCCACCGCGACCTCTCCCTCTTCTATAGTATTTGATTCTGAGACCAGTTGACACAGCCCAAAACCTACCTAAAACTCCGAAACTCCACCCACTTTTCCCCAAAAACAGCCGTCGAGGGGGGGTATATACAACCAGT